AAGCTGTGCGCGTCCCCGTAGGCGCTGTTCGGCACGGAGCTTGCGTACCTCGGGGCGACCGAACACATCGGTAATGCGTAGTTTAAAGGCACCCCAAGTGGCGAATTCCGAGTGGTGGTTGTTAAACCAGAGACTCGCCACCTCTTTCAGGTAGAAGGGTACATATTGAAGCTTCGAAGGGTCGTCCCACTTGTTGCTTGCGCCTACCTTTTCAAATGTCGCCAGCCAATCTTCTACGTCTTGCTCATCGGTACCGTCGAAAAAAGGTGGATTGCGCACGCGTAGCGAAGTGGGCACGATGACCATCGGAGGCTGGGTCGTACCTTGCTGGGTGGTTTCTTCAGCCATTTCTGGGATGGCAGGTAGTTTCCTGTTGCGGAGTTCCAGGTTGAAGTACCCAGCACCTCCACCATTCTGGAACGGGGTTTATTGGCACAAGTAGCACTTGCACAGTAGGTCTATTGACGCTGAAAGCGGGCGGCAGCAACGGACTCAGGAATCACAGCAATCGGGGCAAACGCTCGCGCTTTTCTCCTCCTGCAAAAGGCGTGACCCACTGAGGCACATATTCTTCTTCCTCTCTACACCGGGTATAATCTCTTGAAAGATTGTTCAATCCTCATCTCAACAATCTCCTGCTTAGATAGTATTGTTTTCGTCAGTTTAATGCTTGTATTATATTTGATTTAAGTGTAATGTAAAAGAGTAACATGTCTTCTTTTCCTGATCATTTTACGTAACAAGCTCTTTAATATGTCATCTCTCGTTTGCCGATATGCCGGGCTTAATCATCCAAGCCATCGTCTGGCTTCGACATGCCTGTTATCTGTGCTGTACTCAAGATTATTATTATTATTATTATTATTATTATTATTATTATTATATGAACCACAAACAGTGAGTTGTTGTTTTAGCAAAGGCGTCACTAATGTGAACGAAGAATGTTACTATAGATATACACCCACCACACGTTTTGGAGCAGCACATGCATTCATTGGTGGCTGAGTATTAGCGAAAATAAGCGTCTCTCAGGGGCCTGAATCCGACATACATACAAATAAATAAACAATAAAAACATTCGGCCGGAACGGATACTCTTGGACTTCGCACTTAAAACCCGTGTTCTACAATGTTTCGACAAAAAAAAAAGAACTATAATAATGTTTTGTAGCACGATGAGCCACCATCACACGTGCAATATTGCGTAATAGAAGTGTAGAATCGCACCAGCATCGTACATTCGAATTGCACGATGAGTAGTTGCTTTGAAGGCCGACTGGTTCCCAAGTGCACAAGAGTAAGTAATCATCATTATCAGCAACACCATCAACATAGTGTGCTGCTAGGAAATTACGCGTGTAACCTTCACGATCCCGGAAAATTATGCCCTAGCGAACATTTTGCATGGTGTTCTTAAAAATTACATTTTCGGATTGGTTTAAACAGCACGTGTTACGTTTACAGGCGCACTTATCCTTGTGGCAGGGTGGATGTGTCCGCCGAGAAATTAAGCAAATCTAGCGACTGAGAAGGCAAAGCGAACGAAGCTCAAATGCGCTGACGCGTTCTCATCGTGAAGGCGAAGCTCAGGCGCGCTTAAATTTCTTTACATGGTTTCATCATCATCATCATCAGCAGCAGCAGCAGCCTGACTACGTCCACTGCAGGGCAAAGGCCTCTCCCATGTTCCACCAGTCAACACGGTTCTGTGCTTGCTGCAGCCAATTTATACCCGCAAACTTCTTAATCCCATTTGCCCACCTAACCTTCTGTCTCCCCCTAACCCGCTTGCCTTCTCTGGGAATAGTGCACTTTAAGTTGTAAAAGACTGTCTATAGGGCAGGTAATAACCACGGAGCCGGACCACGAGATTGAAGTAACTAGAAGAATAAGAATGGGGTGGAGCACATTTGGCAACCACTCTCAAATTATGACAGGTAGATTGCCACTATCCCTCAAGAAGAAGGTATACAACAGCTGTGATTTGCCGGTACTTAGCTACGGAGCAGAAACCAGGAGACTTACAAAGAGCGTTCAGATTAAATCGAGGACGACGCAGCGAGCAATGGAAAGAAAAATGGTAGGTGTAACCTTAAGAGACAAGAAGAGAGCAGAGAGGATTAGGGAACAAACGAGGGTTAAGGATATCATAGCTGAAATCAAGAAGAAGAAATGGACATGGGCCGGACATGCAGCGCGTAGACAGGATAACCGCTGGTCATTACATGGTTTATGGCAAGCTAAATAGAAGCCCGTCGATCGGTGTACTCCAGTGTCAAGTAATTTCACCTTGAAGAAGAAGCTTTTATTCACATCACGTGGCTGACGTGCTGTGCCCAATACACGTGTTCCCCTGCGAAAATTACACAAATGAACAAGCTATATTTATACATGATTTAGCAGAACAAGGCAGCATCTCTCGGCCGTCTTTCTTCGCGATGGAAGCAAGTGCCTTAAATATTTTCAATATGACTGAAGACTAACACACAACGATGTCAGGAAAAGTATAGAGAATGTTAGTATGGTAATATTAACGTAAGTGTGTAGAAAGGAAAGTGCACGAAAAGATAACTTGCCGCGGGCAGTAACCGAACCAGTGACCTTCGAATTACGCCTCTGGTGCTCTACCAACTGAGCTACAGCGGCGGTGATCACCCCGTCTATTTTATGTAATGTATACATCTGCATTCAAACCCGGGAGTGTTTGTTTGTCGGTGCCAAGTAACAAACCCAGGGATAATTTTTCGGAGTGTGTGATCATTGCGCTTTAAGCTGCATGCAAATACACTTCCAGTGAAAATGCAATAGTATTGAAAGTTGGGCTTGTTGGTACGGGCGAATTTTCGGTTACAGCAAGAAAATGATGAATACGGAAACAAGACAGACACAAACGAGCGCTGACTCGCAACTAAAATTTATATTTGAAGAACACAAGAACGTGAAAAAAAAAAAAGCATGAAAGAAAAACGTATCAAGATTGCGCAGAAGTGACAAGAAGGAATATAAAAACTTAGAGTATCACTTGACGGCGCATGTGCTGAAAAAATATGCAAACTCTTTTTCTGTGAGACATAACGATGGCTCACTGACGCACGCTTCGCACAGTCGTTTAACATGGAAAGCTTCTATCACTTCCTCAGTTATCTGGGATCTGTGCTTCGACGAAACCTTTGTATCGGTAAAGACAAACGAACAGCCACACGTGCTGCAGTGCGATTCCAGATTAAAAGCGTTCAAATTCTTGAGCGAATATCTGTGCTCTCTTAAACGCACATTAATGCAACGGCCGCTCTGCCCCATGTACGAATGCCCACATGTAGGTGGGATCTGCTAAACAATACCGCGCTTGCAGGGCACAAACGTGGAAACATGAATAATTCCAGTCTCTCTTTTCTTGTCATTTTACTACAAACCATTGAACAAATTCTACTGCTGTTTACTTACATGCGACAACAATCAAGTATTAATGGAATACATGGCAATGCTATCGATAAATATAACTTTATTATGTCCTACTATGCTGACAGTTTTTCCACATATCTTCAAATTGTATTTTACATTAAACAGTACCATTCATTACCTACGTCGAAGAGAGAAACATTCATATGTATATCAGTGTGTCTTGTCGATTGTTACTTCCTATACCTTGAATGACGAAGAGCTATTCTTATCTTTGTTCGTTTACTCTAATTAAGCGAAGACGTCTTATTTCTAATCATCAACATATTATCTACACAGTATAAATACGCTTCGCATACTAAGAAGCCTCGAGACAAACGTCCTTACATAAAAGAGCTGCGGAATTTTTACCTTTTGGAGTAACTGAAAACACAACGAAGTGCGTGTGCCCCTGCAAGAAAGTTTCACTGCAAAACATGTTTTTTTTTTTTTTTACAAAAGTGTTCGTCGAACCTCAGGAACTGCGCCGATATCAACCAAAGTTCACAGGTACGAAAACAAGGTTGTCTAGATGTTGTAACTTCAGTGATTAAATGAGATGAAGATTAATTGCCTTTATGAAAAATCTTTGAAATTCTCTCCTATGTAGTCTCCGACAGGACATGAAAGTCGCTCTCGAACCCAGAAATCTCATGGGAATAGAGCGAACTTTCTCTGATTATGAGAGAATGACTCCCAGATAATATATAGGGAGTGATTTGAGCATATATTCAAGCGTTCGGCTGCAATAACTGTTTCAAGATCGTCTCCAATTGAGTGATACTGTCGTTTACAGCAAACCCAACAGATGGCGCTAGTTGTTGATGTCTAGAATTTTGGACATGCAATAGACTAAATCGCTGCTACGTTAGCGTTACAAGCCTTTGGGCAACGTTACACTGACTTTATCCACCAGTTATTTGCACTAGCAAACTGTGCCTTGGCCCTGCGTTGAGTTGTCACCCGTGTCAGGTATTTGTTTACTTCGTCAATGCATCCCCAAGCACTTTCTCTCCCGCTTGAATGACATTCCACGCGCTGCGAATTCTCATTATTTAGCTTGCATGTTTGTGGGAGACTCGACCAACGATTGGGAGCCTTTTCTCAGACTGCCCAAAAAGTGTTGCAGGGGCCCTCCAAGCTCCGATTACGCTGTGCGCAACGTGACAATGACGCCACCTGTGCACGCGACGCAAGCACGAGAGATTAATACTACAAGCAGTTCAACCGAGACAAACACCGATAGTATTAAATGCTTCTGTTAATGCTGTTTTAGCCAGCGACCTTTGGTGCTGACCGAATCGCCAGAAACTTTACCGCTTCCCATCTTTTTTTTTTAGACATAGAGATGAGGAGGTGAAACGCAGAACACAAGATGAGAAACGCTTATACCTCACATTGCTTGCCCGGTTACCGTGATAGGCGAGCTGTTTGATTGCATAGTCAAAACGTCGTGCGTAGAGCGAAGCAACTGCGAGGTGATTTACCTCGATCGTTTTGAAACGTCGTTTATCCGGCGCGTGCAAACGCAGTAAGCCGCCGCCGGCAGCCCTCGCACTGACCTTAACGACGTCGTTGACGATGACCAGATTGACGGAGAAGCGCTCGTGCGGCGACACATCGGGTCTCTTGTCCGGGCAAGGAGGAGGCTCGTCCGCTCCCCTGAAACACAATAAGGGTTGGGCACACCGAGAGGCACGTATTGTTATGTCCAGTTCAGATTTGCTTTCGTGTAACTGTGCAGATGGACTATGGTTCACCCAAGAAAACACAGAGCGTACACTAGACCACTGGCTTCACCCGCCTTCTACGTCTTCGTGCCCACTGCAACACGGTAGCCTCTACGAAAAACTCACCTAGCGTGTGCCAATATAGGCGAACTTCGTAATATGTCATCGTACCAAGCAAGAGCTGAATAATGACACCTCGCATTTGTATTGACACTCAATTCAAGATAACGACACGACACACTTCATTTAACGATACGAAACTCTTCACAGCGATACGACACTTTCCATTAGAAAATATTGAAATAACAGAAGACTGCCGGTAGAATATGTATACTGTAGAAGACGGCTGTAATCGTAAAGCTAATGAGTAGGCACTTGAGCGAAAACTGTCATAATAAAGACGGAAAAGTTGCTATAATCCCGCAACTACAATCAGCATGCTGGTTCCAAGAGACGACGGTAGCGGAAACCGAGCTGCCGCTGTCAGCCGAATAAGTCCCATAAAACTGCTTTCTTCTTCAGCGCCTACATTTTGAATAATATAAAACAGTACGGGAGTGGGTACTTAGCAGTAAATGAAATAGATTTAGCGAAGCGCAGGTACTTGCAGGAATACGTATTGCTGTTTGAGGTAAAGCGAGTGCCCACTGCAATATCTCACTTGAATGTGCTTATAGCCTATATGGAACCTCAATACATTTCATGGCAAGCGTTGCGAAGATATTTTTCGAAGAAATGGTACGCCATAAGCATTGGCTGGTTCAATGCTGAAATTTGTATATTCCACATAACAAGCAAACTTGAAAATTTTATTATTTAATTTTGTTATCACCGTTACAACAGTTACAAAGCATCTGCCTAAATTATTCGTGTTTACTCACAAGACCAAAATTAGCTTTAATGAGCGACATCATGCATTAAATTTGGACCAGCTCAAGTTGCCGAATAGCATCAGTCACGCCAGTAAGAGGTGTATCTTGTATCGTAAAGTAACAATATATCGTGCGATGTAGCGAAAGTAAAGATAGTGACACCTCAACTGTTGAAGGTATCGTGATACCAATACAGAATATCCAACGAGCATGTAAGATAGTATCTAAAATAGTTGTATATGATGCTATACAGCCCTGGTACTAACGATCAAGTGCCTTTTTCTAGAAGAAACCAGCAGCATCAAAGCTTGCCACAACGTCATTATGATAGCTACTATCTTAAATGGCCTTTATCAGCGTTGCAGGAGTCTAATTTAGGCAGGCGATTAGGTAGGAGATTAGACAGATGGAATACAGAATGGACATTACTGAAAGGGTGGGGGGGGGGGGGGCGTAATGCAAGAAAAGAAACGTATACAGTCATTGCATTTACGAAAATTACCTTTTAGGAATTCATCAACGACTTTTTCGAATCTATCACAATCTTAAGTGAAGTAATCGTCATCGTTTTTGTTTTTTCAGTAACCTGTACAAGCAGTCTGCATAAGACGATCACAATGTAAAGTAGTCGCTCACGTCTTCGCAGGTTTAGCGACGACAGCGTCATCTTCCGGAGCCGGCGCCACACCATTCTCGGCGCCGTTGTACTCTGCGATCACCTTGTCCAAGAAATCCAGGGACGCACGGACATCCTCCGAGCTGCACAAAGAGGAAAAATACCGTACTCAATATCAGTTCGGCATCGGCTGTTTCCCGTTTCTGCAACGATTACGTCAGTTCATATTGTGCGTGAAAATGGCATTTCTGAAGTTTGCAAAAACGCAATAAGTGTATAGCTGCCTCGTTTGTTTAAACCAATAATTGCCAGTGTTTAATGGGAAAAAATGGTATGGAACCTTTCGGAATATTCATAAGGAAAGAAATTACAGTTGCCAAGCTCTAGGGCGCGGGCTCCGGCCCTAGCAGTCAAATTCCGATGGGGTAGAAATGCAAACGCACCCGTATACACAGACTTGGACACACGTCAAGGGACGCTAGGAGACTAAAAGAATTCCAAGAGCGCCGCTGTACGTCCAATATTTCAACAGAAGCTGGCCAAGCCTGTTTTTTGCCTTTAGGCGAGCATTCTCTGCCCTCAAACTCGTCCAGATTTTTTTTTTTCGACTGCAAATCCCCAGTGTGTGTTTGTGATGGGTATAGACATATGCACGTATCGCGTTCGCGTTGATTGCTTTACCTGTAACCGCAGAGTAAAGCGAACGAGTACCGTGGTGTAATTTTGTCCGGCTACCATCCTTGCTAAAGTTTGCGTGGCAGGGCGGCTATCTCTTGTGTTGTTTTGTTTGGCGCACCTGCTGCTTCGTGCGGGAAACTTTAGAATTGTATCATGGCCCTGACAAAGTCGACCAGCTGCTAGCTATTGTTAAGGATATGGTTGTCGAACGAAAAGTCTCAAAAAGACATCTTAGGAAAGGTAAAAGACGTCCAAACAAAATAACCGAAATAAAGAGACGTATTTCTAAACTAGAAGGATCCTTCTGGTCTGACGAGGTTGTTCAGACGCTTAAGGACACTCAAATTAAACTAGGAAGCATAGAATCAAGACAATAAACAATCCACTTTGGTGGTGGACGACCTCAACAACAGAATGCGCCGAAATAACCTTATCTTTAAAGGAATCACTGAGAAAGACTCGGAGACATGGCAGGAACCAGAAAGACCTGTAACTGAGTTGGCTGCTAAAAACTTAGGAATCGCAGCTGGTGAAATAGAACGTGCCCACCGCATAGGACAGGAAAAAACTGGGCCACTACTCGATCCAAAGTAGTGAAATTCCTGAACTTCAAAGAAAAAAAACACTACGTACTGAAAAATGCATTTAAACTCAAAAGTTATATTCATTCTCCTGTGTGAACTGAGGAAGATTTTTCACCCAGGTTGCAGATTATTACAAAGAAGCTAGATAAGCTAGCGAGACAAATTCTAGACAACGCGATTTATGTTTGTGACCATGATTCTAACGAAGTAACTGCCCTACCGAAGCGTCAAGTCCCCGCAAAAACGTAGTGACGGCAAGCATGAACACTGTGATGCGCATCTGTCTACTCTTGTGTCAAACTTCCACAGTATCTTTCATAAGCAAGATCACCTGTGTTCGTATGTAGAATCATGTTCGGTAGACACGATTCTGGGCACCGAAACGTGGTTGCCACATGGCATTTCTGATCATGAACTGTACTTGTCTCGTGAATTTTCGTTGTTTAGAAAAGATGGGTTTGAATCGAGCGGGGCTGGTGTGTTGGTCGCTGTAAAAGCTTGAGCAGAACCTCGCGTTGTTGAGACTTATTCTTGCGGATTGCACTCTGTTTGTCCGCTCGAAATACCTGTATCGTTGGGGTATGCTATCGCGCACCTAATTCATCTCGCGAATTTCCCAATTACATAAACGAGTCTTTAGGTTTTGTTCAAAATATATACTGAACATCGCCGACATTTCTTGCTGGCGATTTTAATTATCCGAATATTGAGTGGCAATTGTGCAGACCCCTGAATGGCACAGAAAAACGTGAATGTCAACGTTTTCTTGATGTGCTCGCGTCATCCGATTTGCACCAAGTGGTTTCTGTTCCCACTCGGGGCGATTCGCTTTTAGACGTTACATCAACTACGGAACCGAATAATGTTTCGGTAAATGTTCTGGACGGTTTGAGCGACCATGATATCCTGCATTGTGAAGTCATACGCAATGTGCAAAAGCGTGAAAACATAAAGAACGTAATATTTGACGATACCCGAGCGAACGTAGACGGGCTTATCACAGATCTTTCTGTCTTTTCTGTCGACTATTTATAATCATTTCATCAACGCGACCTCAATACAAACTGAACACTCCTTCGTGACGAAATGATCGCACTTAAAGAAAAGCACATTCCTAGAGTCAAGGCAACGACCAGTGCGCAAAGCGCTTAGTTTACGAAGCATGTAAAACGCACTCTGAATAAAAATAAACGTTTATACTTGAAAGCTAAACTATCGGGATCTGAGGAAGATTGGAGACTTCATGAGCACGCGCACTTATGCAAGACTGAGATAACAAGAGCCAAAGATAATTTTTTTTTACCAATATACTTCAAACATGCTTGACAGTGACACCATAAAGGTTTGGAAAGTTCTTAATCTTAATTACGCATCAAATTCGACGGTTTCATTATCCAAGGATGGTATCATTCTTTCTTCCAGCACGTGTCGCTGTAGAATTCAATGAGTTTTTTTTTCTTCTGCATTCACGAATGAGACCCCTGTCCCAAGTAATCTTCAGGTCCCTCTTCTGCATTCAAGCATGCGCGACATTAATATCACCCCGGAAAGGATACCGTCCTGCATCAATCGTCTTCCAACTAACTCTGCTCCTGGTCCTGATGGGATCTGCCTTAAGCTTCTCAAAATGTCAAAACCTGCAATATGTAAGATTTTAGCCACACTTTTTCAGCAGTCTATTGACACGGGATGCGTCCCATATTATTGGAAACAAGCTCGCGCAATTCCCATATTTAAATCTGGTGAGCCCCCCTAACCCATCAAATTACAGAACGATTTCCTTAACTAGCACGTGTTGGAAACTCCTAGACCATTTAACTTCATCCGCTGTCATGAAGTTCCTTACAGAACATAATTTCTTCTTTATCAACCAACACGGTTTTCTCCATGGTCTTTCTTGCGAAACGCTATATACTGTTCGAATTAATTAATGACTTGCATCACCCTGTTCACTGCATGCATCAAACTGACGCTATATATGTTGATTTTGCGAAGGCCTTTGACAAGGCCCCTCACTTGCGGCTTGTTCATAAACTTATAGGTCTCAACATAAAAAAAAATTCTTAAGTGGATTACAAACTTCTTAGCCAACCGGCACCAGTTCATCTTTGTTAATGACCATTCGTCTACGTTATTACACGTCAAATCTGGCGTACCGCAGGGTACCGTTCTCGGGCCTACTTTGTTCTTAGTTTATATTAACGATATCAGTGATGGTATGCATTCCACAGTAAGATAATTTGCAGATGACTGCGTGATCTACCGACAAGTTACTAACCCTCAGGATGCCGGCCACATTCAGTCTGACCTAGCAAATCTCAGTAAATGATGCAATGGCAGGCAAATGCAAATTAACGTTAATAAAACAAATGCCATTAGAATCCGAACGTTGGCAAACCCGGTGTTACACAACTGCACATTGAGCAACATACCCATAGAATCTGTATGCACAATAAAGTATCTTGGTGTTCATTTATCATCAGACCTGTCATTGAACGCTCATATAGACGCAATTGTTAGCAAAGCATATAGATATCTTGGCTTAATTAGGCCTAATTTGCATCTGGCAAACTCCGAGACTAAACTCGTCGCTTATAAGACCCTAGAACGCCCACAAATAGAATACGCCTCCTTAATCTGGAATCCGCATCAGTCCTAACTCATACAAAAGCTGGAGCCTGTCCTAAATAAGGCTGCCCATTTCATCTAAAAAAACTACTTACGCACATCAAGCGTAACTGGCATCAAATCTTCACTCAACTTAGCTTCATTAGAAAAGCGCAGGATGCTAAAACTGTTGTCCTCTTATAAGCTACACTACAATCAGTCATCCCACGATACTTTCAATATCAGGCCAGTTCGACATATATCTTCACGACTACATCACCAGCATAAAATTGAACCCATTTTTGCTCGCACTAATGTGTTCTATCACTCGCCATTTCTCATCGCCATTCGTGCATGGAACGTTCTGCCTACTGACATCGCTCACATCGTCGATCATGAATCATTTGTTAATCGCGTAAAGCCATTCCTTAAACTCTAAGCTAATCGTTATCAAGACTTGTGTTCCCCCTCTGATGAAAACAACATATATTGTTGAATGTTTGAGTCATGGTTGCTTTTCTTGTTATGATTTCTTTTCTTTAGCCATTGTTTAACTTTCAAATGTTTCTATTTTTACTTACTCTTTTCCCGTATTTCTATTATAGTGTTTAGTGATTTGTACATTATTGGCCCCAATCATCGTTACCTCCCCCCCCCCCTATGTAATGCTCTCTGGGCCTTTAGGGTGTCTGAAAAAAAAATGATGCATAAAACACCTAAAGTGTCATTACGATAACGCAAGTTTAACACAACTTGGGTGCATCTAGTTATTGAACAGCTGTCCCTATACGTACATTCTTCTGCACCACCTACGAGAACGACAGCTCGAAAGGCATTCAAGATGAGCTGTGGGCGAACCAGGAAACGCGCGACGAGCCAGAGTTTGCCAGAAGCCCCGCTGCTCACTCGGGCGCGTTTAAAGATCGCAGGGAACGTCTCACGCCCGCTCGGAGAAAAAAAGACAGGAGAGGACGTCGCGTAATAACGGCCGCTCACCCAGCGGAGTTCACGACCGACCGCGAGCAGCGCGCAGCTAGCTTTCGAGGGGCCCGCCACCGAGACGACGGTGAAAGCAGTGATCGGGGAGCCGTAATCACCGGCTTCGCCCACGGCCGGCCCGGTTGGACGTGCGAGCGGCACCGTCGAGATGCACGAACTCGTTCGCTCGGTGGGCGGCTGCTGATCGATAAGCATCGTCCGCTATATGAAAACCGTATTTCAACTTACAGTCGTTCTTTGTTATGCGATAGACTTGCGCGGTGTAACAGGTAACT